AAGGAAGGAAGGAAGGAAGGAAGGAAGGAAGGAAGGAAGGAAGGAAGAAAGGAAGGAAAAAGAAGGAATCCATACCTATTAAAACTGGATTGTTGGGGTCTGTACAAGTTGATATGATATGATTTCCCAGTGTAATTTTCCTCCAGTCACAAGACCTGGGGAAAAATAGATTTTGGGATACAATTAAATCCCATTCAGAAGTTATCCCAACTTCCCAAGATATTTAGTTGGCAAGAAGTAACCCTTCCTGTCCTTGAGACTAGCTTACATGGTTCCAGAAAAACAAGAACTCTTTTCTTATTATCCATGCTCCTGTCCTTTGTAGAAGAAGAGATAAAGGTGGTAAGATGTTAAATAGAAGCCAGCAGGATGATTGCATCGGCTTCCTTCAAACATGAGAGAGAAGATTTTATTTCCAGTTATTTCCAAATATCCTATATCCATTGATTGCTTTTGTTTACTGCTTTGGTATGATGAACCCCACACTAAATTAACCGAACCTCTTTCTACAATCACAAATGAGGCTTCGTCTTCAGATTTTATAGTTCCTATAGTCTGGTGAGTAAAGGTAGCCACAAGACATACTTTTGCTAAACAGCAAGCTAGTTCCCTGATGTGCTCCATACCAGGGGTCTCCAACCTTGGCAACTTTAAGACCTTTAAGAATTCTGGGAGTTGAAGTCCACAGGTCTTAAAGTTGCCAAGGTTGGAGACCCCTGCTCCATACTATCCCAGTGAGGCCTTTGTGGATCCCAAAATAATTTCTGCAGATAGATGTGTTCCAGTATCAAGCTTCCTATTTAAACTTTTTTTAAAAAATCAAGACTGCTTTGAACTAAAGGAGATATATTTGGATATTATTGGTAGCTAAGAAAAGTGTTTTTTATGTTGTGGCCCGCAGGTGGCCAGCAGAGTTGAGGGGAGACTCAGACAGTGAGGAAGTTGGGGAGGAACATGGGCTAGTCCTGGAATCTGGGGAAGGCACTGATGAGGGCTCTGAATCAGAGGCAGAGATGGGGCCAGGGCCGTCAGACAATTATCAGCTGCCTTCAGAGTCGGACAGCAGTGGGGAAGAAGAACAGCTGGAGCCTGTTCCCAGTGTGCACATGCACAGAGCTGCCAGAAGAAGGGAACAGATAAGGAACAAGGGTTGACTCGGGAGTAAAGCCACAGGTGAATGGTGAATGGCCCGTCTCATAGGGAACAAAGAGGAGTGAAAGGGGAGTGGTGTTTGGAGGAGACAATTTGTTCATTTAATTAGTGTGAAGATTTCTTCGTGACTCCTTGCCAAGTATTTTCTGGTACAGCAGTTGCACTTGGAAGCTCTCGGCCTGGCAACTCTCAAAGCCTGATAAGGTCTATGATTGTAATTCCACCCTTGAAAGACTGTTTGCCGGGACTTTGCTGGATGTGAATGATAGGAATTCACATTAGCCTAATAAAAAGGGGTTTTCTGCGGACGAGGAGTCTGCTTCGTGATTTTGGTGAAGCCTAGGTCAGAACAGCTTACCTTGGTCCTAACTGCACTCTATTTTTTCTGATACAGATCAGTGGGACAAGTTGTATTAGAGGTTCAGTGTTGAGCTAGCTGCTGAATTAAGCCTGGGTGATAACTGGTGGCTCAGCAGTCCTTCCTACCCCACGAACTTTTGCATTAGTGATCTTTCCCCGTTGCGCTTCTCTCTTCCTCACCAGAAGATCAATATGGCTTCTCTCTTCCCCATGGTTCTGGATTAATATGGCTTCTTTCTGCTTTCTAGGGTCGTCTTCCAGTCAAATGGATGGCCCCAGAAGCCTTGTTCGATAGAATATACACCCACCAGAGTGACGTGTGAGTATTTCTCTAACTCCTTAAAGTACAGTGCTAGATCTGAGCCTCTCTGTTGATTCCCTGCACCTCATACTCTCTCATGAGGTGGATGGTTATTGGGAAATACTCAGCCTGGCAGTGGGAAGATCTCAAATGCAGAATTAGCTTCAAATCCTTGCGTAGCCACAAGAGGTCCAGAATTAACCTCCCTCCCCTTCTTTAAGGATCTGGAATTGACCTCCTCCCTAACCTCCATAGAGCCTTATATCTATCTATTCTCAGCTGAAGGTTGGCTTTCTGGGGAGATTCCTGTATAATAGGCAGAATATAATAAAGTACTTGGCTTGAACCCTACGTGTGTGCATCTGATTGTCTTCTGCTTGAGAGTAGTAAATGTCTCTGTGTTTTATAACTTCTCCACCCTTGCTCCTTGAATATCTTTTTCCAAGCTGCAGACCCACAAGTAGCTGATAGAATGACCTGCATGCCAAATAAATGCAAGATATTGTGACGATGGAGATCATCCAGTCCTGGGTTGTCCCAAAGGTGCTTTTTTTCAAGAGGCAACTGGACTTTCTGGTTTTTCCTTTGAAGATGTTTCGCTTCTCATCCAAGGAGCTTCTTCAGCTCTGACTGGATGGTGGGGAACGGAGCTGAAGAAGTCAGAGCTGAAGGAGCTTCTTGGAGGAGAAGCGAAACATCTTCAAAAGAAAAACCAGAAAGTCCAGTTGCCTCTTGAAAAAAGCACCTTTGGGACAAGAAAGTTTTCTGTTCCACTGCCCATCTACTCCACTTTCAGGGGCTCTGGCTCTAGACAGGAAGTTTGGGTGGGATGCAAAGGATGGATAAAAGCTACAACTCCAGCCTTCACTTTCCTACCTCAATTGATTCAGCAATCGTGTTCTCGCTGTCTTTACTTACGTCTCATTATGCTTACGGCTTCTAGTCCTGCCTGTTTAATTAGAGTCACATTCTCCCTTCCCCTTCTAACATTCCTCCCCACCTCCCAAAATTAATTTGGTTGCAGATCACAGCTCCCTTAAATGTTCTACCGTTTTCAATTAAGGCTGGTCTGCTGGGAATTATTCCCAAAGGTGGACAATAGCAGATGTGATCCATCTCGGTTTAATGAAATGCTAATTTCTGCAGGCAAGAATAGTATTTCAGTCTGTATGACTTGGCAGCAAGGGTTGGCTGGTCTAAAAATCTGCTCTTGGCTTATGTCTGGTTGCCATTTTGAGGGCCCTCTCACACCACTGCAAGGTTACACACACGCACACTCCAAAAGAAGCTACCAAAGCCGCATGCATCCATAGAGCGTCTACCACTAAGTAACAGCCTGCTTGTAACTGCTGCAGTGTAAGACATGATGTATCCTGTATGCTAACCAGGTGGTCCTTTGGTGTCCTCTTGTGGGAGATCTTCACCCTGGGGGGCTCTCCGTACCCAGGAGTGCCGGTGGAGGAGCTGTTCAAACTGCTGAAAGAAGGGCATCGGATGGACAAACCCAGCAATTGCACCAATGAACTGTGAGTGCCCAGTTGGGTGGGTGATTTATCTGTTTAGGATGATGATGAAGATGATATCCATTCAGTCATATCCAGCTCTTGGCAGACTCTATGGGCCAGGTCTCTCCACCTCTTCCAATTGTCATCTCATAAAACATTCCTATACCTGTTTTAGTAGTTGCCATAAAAAGAGGGGGAAAGCGAAAGTACATTACAATTCTTATCTTTAAAATGGGCCGCCAACCTTTTGGACCTCAGGGACCACCAAACTCATAATTTTAAATCCCGCGGACCAGAGACCCTGGGAAAATCCCCCCCAAAAAAGTCTGCAGGAAAATTCCCCACCCCATTTTCCTACTGATTGATCATTCTTTATTTGGGATTGGAGAATACCGTCTCCAGCTCCGTTCTCAAGGAGAGAGAGAGAGTGGGGGGGGAGAGAGAGAGGAGAGAGGAGAGGAGAGGAGTGGAGAGGAGAAGAGAAGAGAAGAGAAGAGAAGAGAAGAGAAGAGAAGAGAAGAGAAGAGAGAGACTTGGCTTCATGTGAGGAAAGCAGCAGAAGTCTTTCTTTCTCTTCCCCAAACTCCACCAGAAATGAGTCTTTGTGAGACTTGTCGTGCCGGCGCAGCCTCTTGGAGCAGGAGGCCTTGCAGGGTCCCAAAGACTCATTTCTGGCAGAGTTTGGGGGAGAAAAAGAAAGACTTTTTCTGCTTTCCTTGTGTGCAGCCAAAAGCAAAAGAAGAAAGAAGCAGAAAGAAGCAGCCCAGTGGCCAGACAAGGCATGTGGGGAGAGTGGGGCAAATTCCGCCCCCCCCCTTTCTCCCCTCACTACCTCGTGTTGTTCACAATGTGAGTGATGCAAGACTTGTGTTCCCATGAGCCATGTGGGTGGCACAGCCTTGTGTTCCCATGCAGCCTGGATTAATTGCTTTGGGGCAACATTTCTCTGCGGGACCACCAAAATTTTCTCATCGACCACCAGTGGTCCTCCGCCCACTGGTTGGAGACCACTGCTTTAAAAGATTGTAATTAAAATACCAGAGTTTTTGCCTGTGGATATATTTAATTGGAGAACATGAATGATGACACCCAGCCGGCGAAGGCGCTCAATTGAAGAATCTGGTTTATGAGACACGCAGGGAGGAGGTGGGGAAACAGGGTCACAAGTGAACTGTAAATTACACATGCCAGAGTTGGCTTCATACAGGGCAGTGCCAGTATGTCGCCTCTAATGAATCCTTTGAAGTTTATTGAAGTTTGGCTCAAGAATCATGATTTAATTAGAGCGATTGCTGGAATCCTGACACCAATCTTGCATTAGTCCTTTGAATTTTTGTACAGTGGTTAAAAACGCTGAGCTTACCAACTGGAAAGCTGACAGGTCGGGTTTGAGACCTGAACATTTCATGAGGGGATGAACTCCCGTTCCTTGCTCCAGCTCCTGCCCACCTAACACCTAACAGATAAATAAGTACCACTTCATTGGAAAGGTACAACCCTCTGGGCACTTCAGCATATAGTCATGCTGGCCACATTACCACAGATAACATCTTTGGACAACAGAGATGAGCACCACCCCCCTAGAGTCGGGCATGACTGGGCAAAGGAAACCTTTATTTAACATATGGCAATGTTACATTAGCCAGGAGAGTATAGCATGAGTACAAAGTAGTTGTTTGCTTTCTAATAATTGCTAGTCCATTCAGTTCATGCTCGTGCACCACAGGAGTCAGACTTGGAGGTTCAACAACATTCTGTAGCGTCATCCAGGACTTTCTCCCTCCACCGATGCTGCCTCACAGTTGGGCATTGCAGTGGGAAAGGTCCAGCACTACCATACAAAATGCCATTATTTTCTCACCAAAGTGGTACCTATTTATCTGCTCGCATTTGCTTGCTTTCAAACTGCTAGGTTGGCAGGAGCTGAGGCAAGTGACGGGAGCTCATTCTGTCATGCGATACTGGGGCTCGAACTGTCATGCAATACTGGGGCTCGAGTACAGACCTTCTCCAGCATTTTTAAGATACTGAACCACCTCGCCTCTAGTTACCATATTTTTCAGAGTATAAGACGCTCCGAAGTATAAGACGCACCTAGCTTTTGGGGAGAAAAACGAGAAAAAAAATATCTGCCTCTGGCTCTTTACAGCAAACAGCCTGTTTCAGCTACAGCACAGCCTGGTTAGCGCAAGCAGCTGATTGTCAGTTGGATCAAGCACCTGAAGATCAGCTGTTTCAAGCTATAGGGATTGCCATAGCCTATTACCGCCTACACGCACCCCATTTTCAGCCTCTGCATCTGGCTTTCAGCCTCCGCACACTCCATTTTTGGCCTGTTCCAGGCAGCAGGGATCAAAATGGGTGGAAAATGGGTCGCGCAGAGGCCAAAAACAGGGCACACAGAGGCCAAAAATGGGATACCGAGGCCAAAAATTGGGCACATGGAGGTGGCAATAGGCTGTGGCAATCTCTGCAGCCTGAAACAGCTGATCATTGGGAAGCCAATCCAACTGACAACCAGCTGCTTGTGCTAATCAGGCTGTTCTAAAACTGAACAGACTGTTTGCTGCAAGGAGGCAAATTGCTGGGAGGCAGAGGCCGAAGGCCAGTGGGTGAGGTGGGGCTTCATAAACATTTGCTGTATAAGAGGCACAGATATTTCCACCCACTTTTGGTGGTGGAAAAAGTGCATTTTATACTCCGAAAAATGCGCTAAATGGCTGATGGCTTGCATGCCCAGTTTGCAAAGACACTCAACAGCCCTGGCATTCGGCAAAAGAATGTTTGCAGCTCCACAAACTATGCTCAGCTTCTCCCAAAATGCCATGGCCCTGAAAAGACCCCCCAAAAAAGAAGACAGTTTTTTTTGAATGTTTATGAAAAATGTAAATCAATTTTTCACTGCTCCTCGGCTCAGAGGTCTCTTTTTACTGCTTCAATGGATGGAAACTAATGAAGGAGAGAACCAGCCCAGGAAATCAGTTTGGTTCTCTCCTTGATTAGGAGAGGAAGAAATAAAGAGAGATTTCTTGACAGCAGGAACAATTAATCAGTGGAATGACTTACCTCCAGAAGTTGTGAATGCTCCAACACCGGAGGATTTTAAGAAGCGATTGGACAACCTTTTGTCTGAAATGGTATAGGGTTTCCTGCCTGAGCAGGGGCTGGACTAGAAGACCTTCAGCGTCCCATCCAGCTCTGTTATTCTGTTATTCTATTCTGCTTCATCTTCCCATTGGACAGCGATCCACAGCAGGATGGCGTCATTTGCAAAGGGAGCTTTGGCCAACGTCTTCTTGGCAGACTCCGAGGTCAGCCTGTTGCGAACACAAGTTCCTTTGAGATGCTGCCAAGTTTGAGAAAAACCCCATCAAATTCAAGAGACCAGGTGTAACTTCGCAGGATACCTGCTGACTGGCCGAGATGGAGGATGCTTGATGGTCAGGGTTGCTCTTTTCCCAGCACCTGTGAAAGCCAGGTGTAATTCTACATGGAGCTTTTCTATTTTTCTCAGCAGGAAAAGTTTCGCAAATTGAATTAGACCAAGGCCATTTTTTTTTCCTAATTCAGGATTGGACCACATTTATTTTCCAGATTGTCCCAACTAATTCCGCTAATGGAGGTTATCGATTAATTTTACTTAATTTATTCCTTCTAGGCACTGCCCAGCTCTGAACTGACTCAGGTGGTGGCAATCAAACCAATTAGATTAAAAACACAATATAATAGTTATGAAAAACATTTAAAATAAGGGTCTTCTCCCCATCCCAATGTTTAACAGCTCAACAGGCAGGAAAACTTGTCATCCCCACAAATAATATCTTCCACAAATAAGCGTGGCTGGTAGACAGGAGAAAATCTCTCAGAGGAGTACTAGATTCCAACAATATGACATCAGTTTGTGTGGTTTTTTTTTTAATCTTATCTCTGGCCAATATAACTAAAATAATTTAATGTTATTAAATAAAATGAATAATGTTTATTGTCTATAGTTTTTTTGAAAAAATATGTAAGTCACCCAGAGTTACCTCATTGTTGAGATAGGCAGCCTATACATTTAATTAACAAATAATGGATCTTTTAAAGAAAAATACAGTTTAAAACGATAATTAGTTATTCCACCAAAGGCTAATGGAAGGCAAAAAAAAGGGGGTGGAATCTTTAAAAATGAATTATAAATTATTGTAAATTATGTCTTCAATTGGAATCGTAAGTGTTGCATAGTTGGATGGACACATGCATGATTTGGTATTTTCAGGCAGTTCTTCCCCTTTAAATCATTGTTCTCAAGTTGGGGTGTTTTTAATGTGAGATGTTAGGTCATATGATGGTACCCAAGTATAAAAAAATTGCCAACTCCTGGAATTGGTGGTTTTCTCTAGTGGGTCTAGGACAGCTTGCTGTGGGATAATTCCATGCAGGAGAACTCAATGTGATAAATGTTATTCGCCACTGTTTCTTCAACATTATTTGACATTATATGAGCCATGGTGGCACAGTGGTACTGCAGGCTACTTCTGCTGGCTGCCGGCTGCCTGCAATTTGGCAGTTCAAATCTTACCAGGCTCAAGATTGACTCAGCCTTCCATCCTTCCGAGATGGGTAAAACGAGGACCCAAATTGTTGAGGGCAATATGCTGACTCTGTAAACCACTTAGAGAGAGCTGTAAAAGCACTGTAAAATGGTATATAAATCTAAGTGTCAACTAAAAAAATATTTCTTTTGGTCTTTTTAGTTGCCGGCAGAAAGGGAGTGGGGGAAAGCAGTGCATTCCTCAAATGCTTCAGATAATTGCTAGGCAGCTGAAGCTGTTGGCACGCAAGATTATTACTGAAGAGTATGATTGATGACTCTTGGCTATGGATGTGTCCTATTGGAGAATATATATCCAGGGGTGGTGGGAAGACCAGGGTCAAGGGGGAAATGAATGATGTATCTTAGTGTCGGCTACACCCAGGTAGCGCCAACATGGTCATTCCCAATAAATCTTTTTTTATTTTACTCTGAGAGATGCGGCTAAAGACTTATGATTTGAATAGGGGTAGATTTGTCGGAGCCCTGACACTAAGTGCCATTGCTATTATTTCCATTTTTTGTCAACGGAAATAATGAAGAAACAGTGGCAGATAACATTTATCGCGTTAAATTATACCACGTGGAATGATCCCAGGGTGATTTGACCATGGTGAGCTGTCTCATGGCGATTGTCCATGGCAAAATAGATGCAGCGAGATAGCTGTGGTGAGTTCCCCCATTCCTCTCTGTTTTTAACAGCGTAGATGCAGGCACATTAACTGTTCTCTGTTCTCAGGTACATGATGATGCGGGATTGCTGGCACGCTGTTCCATCCCAACGGCCGACATTTAAGCAGCTGGTCGAAGACTTAGATAGGATTGTGGCCATGACCTCAAACCAGGTAAAAGACCCCCAAAGTCCATGTTGCCCTAAATAGGCTGCTGAGAAGCCTTCGCTGCTTTCTTATTGGGGGAGGGGTAGGTAGATAGATTGGCAAATAGTTAGGGCAGTGGAAAATCACAAGCAGGAGGGGCAAATTATCTGAGATGTTAGGAAGGTTGCTGTAGTTTTAAAATTAAGGTATGTGACCATGATAAAAGACAAATTACATGTTTTGTATATGTTTGTCTCATGTAGCAGGAGATTGTCTCCTTGTTTTTTTACCATAAAGCCAGAGGGGTCTGGAGCTAAAACAGTTGCCCGAAGTTTGCAATTAGCTTTATTCTGGATTAAGTAGATTATCCAAAGCTAGATACTGTCACTGTTCCAAGTAACAAACTCCAACCCAATAAACTCTGAGACAAGCATTTTCTCAAAGTTCCATTTTATTAGAATTGTCCTATTGACACATCTGGGAAAACCCGAATCTGAGAAGTACCAGGTTTTTCCTTCCCAAAAGAGAAATCGAAAGATCCATCCCCTGCGTCCACCAGTCCCTCACATGGCCCAATCAAATGTTCATCCCAACTGGAGACATTCCTCCAGTCACTCCCCTCCAGGTGCAGGACAACATGTCCTTGACTCTCTGAGAAAGAATGTTGTTGTGTCTAATCTTCTACCCCCACTATGAAATCCCCCCTCCCAAATTCCCAGGCACTAAAATGTGGCCGCGTGGAAGCTCTTAAGTAAAATATGGCTTCCAAAGCTAACAGATACTCAGATCCAACTTCATCACTATTGGGAGTACTTTACACTCAGTCCCTGAATGGAAAAGTAGAAATTCCAGTCCATACATACCATTGGATGAACAATTTTAGGCACTATTGGCCCAACTACATTGGCCAATGAATTCCTAAATAAACAGAAAGTGACACAACCTCTGTATGGTACAGAGCTAAACAGAACATAGCCATGGTTTTCATATTTTTAGTCTGTAAATACCAACAAAACATAAGTATGTGTTCACATCTGCAGTTGTCCAGTTGAGTTTTGTACTGTGGGGGCCCTTGATGCTCTCTGAACTTAGTGGTTTTCTTGCAGATGTTTAATTACCCAAACTAGGTAAGAAATGCTAGCACTGATGATCCAGAAGTTGAGTTAGGGCAACTGGACTGCTCTTCTTTTTTTCTTTTTGTTTGCTTGTTTGTTTGAAACATTTCGCTCTTCATCCAGGGAGCTTCTTCAGTCTTGGATAAGCAGCGAAAAATTTCAAACCAAAAAAAGAAGAAGAAGAAGAAAAGAAATCTAGTTGCCATAACTCAAACTTCCATATAATTCTATGTGGATGACTGAGAATCTTCATCAACATAGAGCACTGATGATGTTACCTAGTTTGATAATGAAAAGGTTGAAAGAAAACCCAAGTTTCGAGAGCATCAAGGCTCTGCAGTTGAACCCTGAGCTACAAATTCCCTCTTCCATTGTTGACTTTTGTACCTTCTTCAAGAAAAATGACACCAGCTTCATTTTAGTTAGGAAGTCATGGAAACTTACCTAGTTATCCCTACAGTTGCCGCTGGGAGATCCACCCGAGCAAACTTAATGTTAGTGACCAGTTCCCCATTTCTCTATGTTCATCTGAGTTTGTCTCCAAGACTCTTACGCCAACTTGAGAAGAGCACTAGACATTGTTCTCACAATCCTCTCCTTCTCTTTTAGGAATACCTGGACCTTTCTCTCCCACTGGACCAGTATTCTCCCAGTTTTCCAGACACTCGCAGTTCCACCTGCTCATCTGGAGAGGACTCCGTTTTCTCCCATGATCCCCTCCCTGACGAACCTTGTCTTCCCAAGCATCCACCTCACCTTGCCAACGGTGGGCTCAAAAGGCGCTGATGCCGCCAGCATCTGGGGGACCCTTCTGTGCGTACGAGTGTGGAGCGTGGGTGTCCGCGAATGAACGGGTGTGCGTATGTGTGCACAGTCTCCCTCCAGCTGGGCTGGAGGGGGAAGGACCACCGGAGGAACAGTGAAAAAAAACGTCCATTCCAAGCAACCCAGCCTACTCATCATAATCACCTTCTTCTTCTTCTTCAGTACACTTCCATCTCTTGCAAGCCTTAAGCCTTCTGAAGAGCTGCTCATACCTTGTGATCTGGAGTGGGAAGCAGGGTCTTAAACAGCAGCAGAAAGGAGATTCTGGAGCAGAGGGGTGAAGAACATTCCCGTGAAGGGTGGAAGTCCTTTCTTTTTCCCGTTCATAAACCCAAGCTCTGCTGCAACCTGTGAGAACTCAGAAAGCAAAAATCAAAGCTGCCATGCATGAGATGCTACCTGGGGGGGGAAACATCTTCAGCCTCCCCTGTTCGAGGCTCTGTTGCTGTCTCATCCACAAGTGGAGTCCACTCCCACGATAACCTCCTAATTCTGGGAGCTATGCAGCCCAACATTCTGCAGGTTGAACAGAGAGGTGCCTGTTCCTGAGGTGTCTTACGAAAGCACCGTCCACTGGTACTTGGTTGACCAAACCTGAAAGTGATCTTACCACATCATACATCCATCATACACAGCTCTCTGGCCTAAAATTTAAAGGAGGCAGCCCCAAGGATCCCAGGGCTTGGACATTTTCAGACAAAACCAAGGAAATTAAGAGAAAACTTTTGTACATAGCTGCCACAAAATGTATAAATATTAATTATATATTTACATGGTCATTTTTTTTAATGGTGGTTACCAGAGAGAATATCACCTTGATAGTCAGTTTACTAGTGACTGGTAGGTATCAGTTGCTATAAAAGAAAACCCCCAAACAAATCATATATTTTGCTACTTCTGCTGGTTTTGCTTTTTGTTTTGTTTTATTTTTATTTTAAATTATGTTCTAAAACTTTTTATTTTCAGTTTAGGTACTTCAATAAAGATTGCTGCTTCGGTTTTATATGGGATTATATCAAACGGGCGAGTTTGTGGGTAATCAAGATTTTGGGGGGAGGGATTTGAAACCTTCCCCATCTCCTGTATGTACCTGCTCACCTGTGCTTCAGGCCCCTCTAGAACCAGAGTCCCTGTCCCTAAATCCCTTTGCTCACTCCCGTGCTGTTAAGATAGAGCGAGGGTCTTCAAACTTGGCAAGTTTAAGACTTGTGGACGTCAACTCCCAAAATTCCTGAGCTGACATGACTGGAGGAAGAATTCTGGGAGTTGACGTCCACAAGTCTTAAAGCTGTCGAGTTTGAAGACCCCTGAGATAGAGTGATGCCATCCATCATGTTAGGCCTGAAGGTTCCTAACTTAGTAAATTTTAACAAGACTAGGTGCTGGTCTTTACCAATGGCCCATCTCCCATTTTCATACTGAGGGAACCAAGTTTTGTCCAGACAACACATGGACAAATTCTCCCAGCAGATTGTGCTAGATTGGCAGCTTTGACTAAGCACAGAACATCCTCAATGTACGACCACTATGGAATCCAACATCTCCATTGCTATCTAAGACAGTTGTTAAGTGAGGTTTGTCCCCCATTATAGGACCTTTCTTTGCCCAGCTGTTAAGAGAATAATTGCAGTTAAGTTAGTAGCGCAGTTGTGAAGTTGATCCAGCTTCCCCGTTGACTTTTGTTGTCTCAGAAGGTCACAAAAGGGGATCACGTGACCACAAGACACTACAACCGTCACTAGTACATGCCAGTTGCCAAGCATCTGAATTTGGATCATGTGACCACAAGGAAGATGCCACTGGCGGTGGGGAAAATGGCCATCATTCACCTTTTTCAGTGTTGTAACTTCAAACTGTCGTTAAATGGATGGCTGTAAGTTGAGGACTTCCTGTAACTCTCCTCCTGGGTTAATGTCAAAGAACCCTAGTGAGTGGCTTATCTAAAACTGCAGGTGTGATGACCTGGGGGGTGACATCAAAATAACAAAGTCACAAAAAGTCGAATAAATTCCCTTTAATGCCTCCAACTTGGGCCGCAATGTCCGATTATCAGACTCTTCCAAAAACAATCTACGAAGGAAAGAAATGCAGTCCGAACCCAAAGTAAAGATAATTAGAAATTAAAAAAACCCAACACAAACCACAGTGAAGTAATTAGCATGGCAGGCCAGGATGATAAATTGTAGACTTCCAACAGATAACGCAGCACCCACAGTTGGGAGGACGCCAAAACCCAGATAAGCCTCGACCAAGAAAATGCACGCTCTGCTTTGAGCAAGGTGCTGTGTGCAAACACCCCACTTATATCCTGTTCTTCCAGCTGCAACTAATGAAGGGAATCAGGGCCTTTTTCTTCCCCTTAACCCACATTGCTCCCTTCTCCGTTCCTCCCTGCGTGCTCTAAGATGAAGAGGTGGCAGCCCTGGGTCTTCCTCTGAATGCCCAGCCAGACTGTGCTCTTCCCCCGTTTCTTCCACAGTCACCAGAGCTACACTCCCACCCCCTGTCAGCTGCTCAATCTGCCCCTCAGAATCAGACTCCAACAAGGGCATGACAACAGGGACCTTCCAACGGTTTGCTTTTCATTTTCTGAATTTCTGTCTCTGTTTTTCCTTATAAGAATGATCTAACCTAGCCAAGTGCTTGATAATTACCCAGTTGTTGTTGTTTTTCAAGGAGTAATATTGGCTTCTTCAGGAGGTAGGAGTTCCCCAACCTGCAACTCTCATCCTTGGTGCTTCTTTTAGTCTTCCTCTTCCATTTCTTTACAGCTAGTCCTCGACTTAATGACCACAATGGGGCCCAACATTTCCATTGTTAAGTGAGACCTTTGTTAAGTCAGTCTTGCCCTCCCTTTGCAACTTATCTTGCTACGGTTAAGTGAATCTGGCTCCCCTCATTGACTTTGTTCCTTGAAAGGTTGCAAAAGAGGATCACATAACCCATAAGACACTGCAACGGTCACAAGTATGAACCAGTTGCCAAGCATCTGAACTTCGATCACAAGATCATGGGGCTGCTACAAAGGTCGTAATTGTGAAAAATTGTCATTGGTCACTTTTTTGTCCAGTGCCGTTGCAACTTTGAATGGTCATTAAATGAATTGTTGTAAGTTGAGGACTACCTGTATTTGGGCATAGGAAAAAACATTTAAATGATTTGTCTCTATCCTCATTTCCTCTTTAAAAAAAAACAACAACTGGGGGCCATGTCAGAACTCAAGTCTTAGAGGAGAAGGGGCTTCTCCCAAGTTGTGAGAAAAATGGCCACTTCCTTTTCTTCAAACACCACTACATTATTCCAACTACTACTGTATTTTCCAAAAAAGAAGACCTAACCGGAAAATAAGCCCTAGTGTGATTTTCCAGGATGCTTGTAATATAAACCCTTCCCTAAAAATAAGCCCCAGCTAAGATAATCAGCTAGACCAGTGGTCCCCAAACTTGGCAACTTTAAGTCTTGTGGACTCAACTCCCAGAATTCTGGGACTTGAAGTCCACAAGTCTTAAACGTGCCAAGTTTGGAGACCTCTGAGCTAGACAGACACTATCTCCAAAAATAAGACCTAATCAGACAATAAGCCCTAACGCATTTTTTGGAGCAAAAATTCATATAACACCCTATATTTTCCAGGGAAATACAGTAACAAGCCTGTACACAAATTTTGCTATGTGAAGTATTACTTGCTTTGAACTTGCCTACTAGTACTTTATTCCTGGGGTGTGTCCTTTTTGACCCATTCTGTGGATGCCGGTGTCCAATTACACCTTCTCTGCAGAATCAAAGTAAGTCAACTCTTAACACTCATACAGTACACATAGTCCTCGATTTAGAACAAAGGTCTTGAAACTTGGCAACTTTAAGACTTGTGGACTTCAACTCCCAGTTTGGGGACCCCTGATTTAGAATAATTCATTTAGTGACCATTCGAAGTCACAATGTCACTGAAAAAAGGGACTTACGACCATTTTTCACACTTAAAATGGCCATTGCAATATCCTCGTGGTCATGTGACCAAGATTTGGACGCTTGGCAACTGGTTCATATTTATGACAGTTGAAGTATCACAGGACTCCCTTTTGCTGACAAGCTTAGTCAATGGGGAAGCCAGATTCATTTAACAACTGGGTTATGAACAACTGTAATGATTCACTTAACAACCATGGCAAGAAAAGTCATAAAATGGGGAAAAACTCAATATATGTCTCTCTTAGCAGCATACATTTCAACTATGGTTGTAAGTTAAGGTCTACCTGTGTTCTCAAGTTCTTTCCTTTCTTCCTACCATCGTAAAGGCATGAATCCCTGGTACCCACCAAATCTTTTGGGACTGCTGCTCCCAGAATTCCCTAGCCAACATTGTCCTGGAGGATTCTGGGAGTTGCACCCCCATATATCTGGCGTCGTGTTTCAATGTAACCTAAATCCACCATCATTCATCCTATACTCGGAAGCTTGTCCTGCCTTTGTATGGAATCAGATGAATTGCGTTTTTAAACATTTCTGTATCAGATTTGGAAGTCTTGTAATTTATTTTTCAAAGGAAATAATTTTAATTGTTGAGAGTCCTGGAACTCTCTTGTTGCCTCCCTTTGTGTGCCTTTTTTTTCCAGAATCGATGGCAAATTGGAAAATAAATCATACATTTATGTCCACTTCAATATCTTTTCTTTGGTGGCTGGAATGTCTGCATTTCAACCTAGAGCAGTGATGGAGAAACTTTCTGGCTCTGAGTGCCCAAACCGGAACACACATCCATGTATGTGCACTTGCACAGGGTGGAGTGCTGGAAGCCTGAAGATCAGCTGGCCGGTGTGCGCATGCCTGGTTTTTGGCTGTTTTTGGCCATTTTCAGGCTGTTTTCAGGCCATTTTTTGCCTGGAAACAGCCCCAAAACCAGCCTGGTTTTTTTGGCCATTTTGGGGTTCATTTTTGGATGTTTTTCAGGCCTGTTTTGGGGCTGTTTTCATGATGTTTTGGGGCCTGAAAATGGCCCGAAAATGGCCTGAAAAGCAGCCTATTTTGGGGGCCATTTTCTAGCATTCTGGCGGTTGCAAAGACCAGCTGGACGGCATGCAAGTGTGTGCCAGAAACCAGAAGAACAGCTGGCAACGGTGTGTGTGCCCACAGAGGTTCGCCATCACGGGCCTAGAGATCTGACAGGGTTAAGTTTGCAGGGGCTTGAAAAGCTGACAGGAACATGAATTTTCTATGTGCATTCTTCTTTTTTAGAAAATATTCCAGAACATTAATGATCTGTTTTACACAGTGGCGGATTAAGGCTCACTGGTGCCCTAAGCACTGACAAATCTTGGTGTATATACTGTACAAACGAAACCAAACTTAGGCTACATAAACGTTTTTGTGGTGCCTCCTTTGGGCCTAGTGCCCTACGCATGGGCTTAGTCTGCTTAATGGGTAATATACCACTGGTCTGACATATGAAACGAGTCCCCAGAGAAAGTCAGTCAATCCATTGCAGCGAACATAACAGGCAGAAGTCTTTAAGCCAGAGAGTTTCACACAGGCAGGTTGTGCTGTTAAAGAATTAAGTATCAAAGTCACAAGGCAGCACATAGAAGCTGCACAACTACTAGCTTTCTATGGCTAAATTCAGCTTCCGATTGCAATTCCCAGAGCCCCAAAGTTGGGTCGACAAAATCAGAAATGAGGAGGTGATAAGCCGCCTGCGAAAGCCAAGGAAAAGCATCAAAACGATTAAAAAGTGAAAGTTAAGAATATTTCGGACATGGGATGCAATGCGATGCGATGCCTGGAAAAATAGGGCATCATTTTCTGTTTTTTTTTTAAAGAATAGAATAGAATTCTTTATTGCAACTGGTAGGCCGGGGACCACTGGTGGTCCGCGAGACAATTTTGGTGGTCCACAGAGAAATGTCCCCCCAAAGCAATGAATCCAGGCTGTGGGGGAACAAAAGGCTGTGCCACCCACATGGCCCTCCCACCTGCTGGTCCCCATCCTTTGGCCAAGCACAAACCTTACCTTGAGTAGAGCCATGCGAGCTGGAACTGGAAGGTGAGACCAATGGCGTGGGAGGGAAATCTACCCCAGGGTGGCTTCCTGACGTTGGTGGGAAAGTCAGTCCCATATTCCAGAGCTGCATGGGTCACAGGACTGGCCCTTTGGTCATCCTGGAGCAGCTCCTCCAGTCCATGGCAGGCCGATGCACCTGGGTGGAGGAGCAGCTGCTCCAGGATGACCAAAGGGCCAGTCCTGTGACTATTACAGCTCTGGAATAGGGGGCCGACTTTCCCACCAACGTCAGCAAGCCACCATCAGTCAAAATTCATATTAGTGGTCCGCAGGATTTAAAATTATGAGTTTGGTGGTCCCTGAGGTCCAAAAGGTTGGAGACCCCTGCTTTATTGGCCAAGTGTGATTGGACGTTTGTTTTGGTACAAATGCTCTCAGTGTTCATAAAAGAAAAAGGAAAAAAATGCATTCATCAAGAATCATAGGTATTATACTTAATAGTAGTCAAAGGGTACAAATAAGCAATCAAATCATACTAGGAAACAATGATAAGTGATAGAATCAAAGCAAATTATACTAGTAAACAGTCATTTTTAAAAAATCATAAGGATACAAGCAACAAAGTTACATTTATGCAGTAATAAGTAGGAGGAGATGGGTGAAAGGAAGG